GAACGACATCTTTTTGAGGAAGGTTGCGACGAATAGGTACCTGGCGGTCTTAAGAAAACTGTGTGTGTCCGATTGCATCCGGTGGAGTAGAGACATTTACATACAACATCTCACTGGTGCGAAACAATACTGCACCGGTTCACCCCCCTCCCCAGTGCACTCTCGAACAACCGAACTCACTGAACTCTGGGCCTTCTCAGAGCGACTCATCGACTCCGAGCTCATCTTCGAACAATGCAACAGCAGTTGGCACCCCAACAATTGAACAATCACCGGTGTCCACTGCCATCGTCGGAAATGAAGTTGTGAATTCGAATATTGCCTCCACCGTTGTGGAGGGTTAAATTATCAACGGACTTGTAAATATTTCTCCTTTGTACATTTCCTTTTTTTTTTTAATTCTCTTTCCGTGTAATTGTTTATTTTATGTGTGCCTCTCTTAGTGTGAAACTGTCTTTTCCACCTACCGGTGCTTTGTGTGCCTCCAATGCCAATGTTAGATCCTAAGTGACTAGGCTGAACGTCCTTACCATTGTTGGTCTGGACTTTGGTCTTAGATGCGACATCAGTAAAAATCGTAACCATCACCACTCGTTTGGATAACCCCCATGGTTATACCGCTTGTTTTGGTGACCATTACGAGACAAGAACTCTGTTCTTATCAGCTTAATGTCTGATATGGCATCCATAGGCTGAATGCCACAATGAATGAAGACAAAAGCTGAATGTAATGAAATGCAGTATAATCATTAACACATACACACTTGCTATATACCACAATGAATCAAATGAAGCCAATTTTTAGATATCTAAGGTAATCTCATGTTATTAAGAAAATGTTTGCAGGGAAAGAGTCGGATACCAAATGAGTCAGTTTATAGCACCATCTGGTCAGTGATTCCTACATCTACATTTATCGAATTAAAAACTCTAAAATATTAGGAGTAAATATGGCTATTTCACAGTTCAATACGAGTCGTGTAGCAAAACTAAAAATTTTAAAACATTGTGATATTGATACAAGTTATAAATGTGTGCCATGCTTCAAAAACCTAGATTCACGTTTGATTCGTGTAGCCCAACAAAAGGATCTTGAGATCCCTAAAAAAGGCAAAATTGTTAAGAATAATGAAAAAACAAACAAACTATAGAAGTCTCTTTTGTATGAACTGAGTAAAAAAAAAATGCTTCATATGCTTCTGGAAAATACTAAGAAAGTGAATACTCCAAAAATTACGTTTTTACTTTGGAGCCTTTTCTCAAAATGTAATGTTTTTCACATTAGGTCAGTGTTTTTCAAACTTTCATTATTTGTGACCCAATATTCAATCATAATTTTCCTCGCGCCCCCCCCCCATTCAATAACAATGTATTAAATTCAATAATACTATATTTTGACGCTAAACCTATAATACAACTTTAACCTCTTAAATTCTGCCGGAGTATATATACGTCTCGCTCAGCTAGTGCGTTAATTGGCCCGGACGTATATATACGTCTTTCTGAAGTATGATCTTTTATGTGAAGTGCTATCCATAAAATTATTCCGAAGGTTTTGGAATGCAATAAAATTACCTTGACAGTGTTTGCGAAGGATTTACTTATTTCAGAGGATTTGCTTTTTTATTCCTTTGCCCCCCCCCCCCCCCAATACACATCTGCTCGCCTACGTGTTAAACGGTGGTATTCTGGAGCGAATTGCGTAATTTTTAATCGGTATTGAAATAATTAAGTATAAACTGGATAATTCGTCAATTTTTTGCATATAATTTTACATATTAAGAGCCCATGAGATTACTGGTAATTGTCAAAACGTTCCTAATTTAGTATTGTTAAATTAATTATAAAATACATTGAGCAGTACTGATATATTAATAAGTGTTATATCAGAGTAAATGTTTTTTATTTTTGATTATGTCAGAATGTATTTTGTTTGTTTATTTTCAGTAAATTAATAAATTTTTTAAAATAATATTTTGTTTTCGACTTTTCAATATGCTCGCGCCCCCCTTGTAGGGTTATGACGTCCCCCTAGGGGGACGCGCCCCACAGTTTGAGAAACACTGCATTAGGTACCTTTTCTCTCAAAAACTACATATTATATAATCTTCAAATTTTCATTGAGCAGACTTTTCACATGTTTACACATTTTAATTAGATATATCTCTCAAACGGTCTTATATAGCTATGACTTTTTTAAACTAAATTTTAAGGAAAAAAATTTCATAAATTTAAAAAAATTCATGTGTATTTTTTTTTAACAAAAAGACAACTCTTCGTTATAGTGTCATTGATAGTACACATAACCAACTGTAAAAATTTTATCCATGAGAAATTAGTAGTTTTTGAGAAAAAGGTACATAAACTTACTCAATTTAACATGTGCTACTATGGACGGGCCCCCCCCCCCTTGAGACTTCTCTTCGATGTATCTATGAACTACCGTCATTTATTTTTACCGCAGGTAATAATAAATTTGCTCATAAATCCGAGGACATCTGAACACTAGACCACGTTCTCGTCTTGGTTTCCGTACCAATAATCCGATACCCGAGTGGTATGGGTATCGGATCGCGGCTTGCCTGGTCACGAGTTCGAGTCCCGTACCACTAAAGACCCGCCGTGTAGGGCAGCGATGCACGTTAAATCTGTCGAGAGCTGAAACGTCCTCCCGTTGGTGTGGTGTGGTAGTTAGGAGAGGGGTGCCAGCTCAGGTGTCGTCCACGTCACTTGACCATGGTTCAAAATTACTTGGTCCGTCGCCAAAAGCCCTCGTGTAGCTGAACAGTGCGACGTTAATATTCAATCAATCAATCCGTACCAATAAAAAAATAACTTCTTTTCGTCAATCAGTTTTTAACACGCTTTTATAAGCTTCACCTGTATGTAACGGAATCTTTGAATTCGATTTTTACCCACTTTATAAGTTTTTTTTTAGATTAATAAGAAATTTTGTACACTTTTTCAAGGACCGATTAAAATACAATAATTGTATAATTTTGTTCCATTGTCCTGATCAGGACCATCAGGATTAACCATTTCCAGATTTGGCAACTACAGGATTATGTTACAACCCTAAAAGCTGAAACTGATGGGTATTCCAGGTTCTAAGAAATGACGCATTTAAGATTAATTCGTCAATGAATAAATAATAGTTTAAAAAACTAAAAATACATGTTTTTACTGTAGATCAAAATTAAAAAATAAAAAATAAATTCTAGCTTAAAAAACCTAAAAAACACGCTTTTATAGTGAATCGAACTAAAAAGTTAAAAAAAAAAAAATCATAATATGAGTGACGAGAAAATTAATGTCATTGCGGTAAAAGCATGGGGTGTGCTTTGTACTACATTTTTACACTAACTCTGCATTTCAAAATAGAACTAGTAAGAAATTATAACAATTGATACCGAGCATCCCACGCTTTTACCACAATATTAATTTTCTGGTTAATCATTTTATTCTTATATTAAGAATTATTTTCTTACTTCTTATTTCAATTAACTATAAAAGCGTGTTTTTTAGTTGTTTTTTTTAAAACTATAGTTTATTTTTTCATTTTTTTAGTTCGATCTACAATAAAGGCGTGTTTTTTAGCTTTTTTAAAGTAACACTTATTCATTGATGAATTAATCTTAAATGCGTCATTTTTTTAGAAACTGTAATACGCGCATTAGCGATTTCACTTTAGGGTTGCGACTTAATCTATTAGTCTCCAAATCAGGAAATGGGAAATCGCAAATCCTAACAATCTTCATCCGGACAATGGAACCAAATTATTAAATTATTCATTTGTCATCGGTTATTTACAAGTGTGCAAAATTTTGCATTAATCTATCTGGATGTTTGATTTTTCAATAAAATATATGTTACAATGAAAAAAGAACTATGGGGGGAAAGCCTAAAAATTTGTTTGCATTCCTGGTATAAAAAAAGGTTTAAAAGGAAATAGTACTATTTAATAAAAACACGATAGCATTTGCTTATATTTTAAGGTTTTTCAGTAAATTATTTCTCTAAAAGTAAACTATCTCAGTTGCAATGTATTAAAAAAAAACTAAGGCCGTATTAATTATAGTTTATACATGATACTATGAATACTTTCTTAAAATTCGAACTAATAAGTTGAATTTGGAAAATTACTGGAAAATTCATTATTTACACTCATTATAAAAGAAAAAAACAAAGAAAAACAAGAAAAAACTTTCACACCTTTATCTGACAAAAAATTCTTATCTGCTTACTTACTCTACGTAAGTTGTTTTTCCTCACATGCAGTATAAGCACTCAAACTCGTGAGTTCTGAGGTAGCTTTCCCGTAATTAACTATTACTAGCATTTGGCAATATTCATTTTTTTTTTACAGCTCCCCAAAACGAAAAAAAAAAAATATCTTCTCTAAATATATTCTATGTATAAGCAAAGCAGATTTTTTTTAATTACAAAATTCCAAAAACTTTTTAAAGTTTTACAATATTTTGTTTTAAATTAACTTGGCAGCGTTGTGGAAAAGGTTTAAAAAAAGTGTGTGTGTACTTATGTACGCACGTAAGAAGTTATACTTCTTTGGCGTAACAAGATTAAAATCTTTCTAAAAATCTTTTGCAGGGCAAGCTGGGCCAAGGACGAAAGGCGGTCAAGAGCAGAGTTGAACGATATTAATCTTCAGTCAATCGAACCAGCCAAACCTAAGATAATCACGATTTAAATAAATTTAAACACCCGCACACACAGAGGTACAATAGGACCAATAATATGGGGAGGGGGT